GGGAGAAGGTAGGGATTGAGCAAAAAAGGAAGACAGAGAACTCATGGACAACAGTGTGGTGATTGTGGGGAGGGATGAATGGTGATGGAAAAAATAAAATAACATAAGTAAAATAAAATAAAGAATTGGGTAGCCACGGCTGGGTGGCCCAGTTGGTTGGAGTGTCATCCTGTACACTGAAAGGTTGCAGGTTTGATTCCCCATCAGGGCACATACCTCAGTTTCGGTTTGATCCCCAGTCGGGGCCCTTATAGGAGGCAACTGATAGATGTTTCTCTCTTTCATCGATGGTTCTCTCTCTCTCTTCCTTTCTCTCTAAAATCAATAAAAACATATCCTCGGGTGAGGATTTAAAAAAAAAAATTGGCTAGCCCTGGAGGGCACCCTCTCCCCAGTAGTGAGGCCACCCATGCCAGAGCATCAAGAATAAAAGGATAATAGGTAATATATAATTGGGTCTGTGATGGATGGACGCCAAATAGACACAGAATCTAGTCGGAACAATGGGTTCATTTAATGATAGACTCATGGATAGGACTGTGGTTAGTTGCCTACATTCACAATTGAAGAAAATGCTAAATTGCAATTAGAGGTCAATGAAAATAATGATGTATTTTCCCTCCAGTAAAGTCATGGACTTCCTGGAACCGAACCCCTAACTAGAGTAGGCTACTAGGAATGATCTGATAGAGAGGGGAGAACTGATGCTGTAGGAGAGAGAAGGCGGAAACGAAGGACAAAGAGAATAGAGCATGGAATCCATAACACAGAAGGACGTTGGCATCTCACAGGGGCAGGGCCTTCCACCTGGGTTTGCCAGGGACGCGTGAATGGGGGCAAATGCATATACTTTGTAGGATTTGGTGGTGAGAAGTGGGAGTGCTCTTACTTGATTGCTTCCATTTTCTCGGTGAGTTACAAAGCAGGAACGCTATCTCCCAGTGGAGAGGGCTGGGCAAGTTGTATAGGTAAAATAGTCATTTTGGAAAGTGAAAAAGTGAATGCATTAAAGAATTTTTTAGGATTACAAGACTTTGTTGAGTGACCACGAATTTATGGTAAAAGCTGTCAGTAATTTTGTGTGTGTTTTTTTTTTAACAAAGTTGAGCTACAGGTTGCTTATAACCTACGGAATCTTGAAAACAATGTTCAGATATCACAGTGTTCAGTAAAATTTCTAGTAATTATTTCTCACTCCAAGAAAGGAAGGTGCAACTAGATAATAACATGATAAGAAGGAAGGTTATGTATTAGGACACAATAAATAAGGATTCATATACTTCAGAGTTGGCCAAATCAGTCAAAATTTAGAATTAATTAGCATATATGATAATTTTTTTCTTGACTATAACTTCAGCATTGGGATTCTTGAGGCACACTGTCTTAAACCTAACCCATGGCCCAGTAACTTAGTTATCAGAAATGCTTACTAATATGACCTGTATTTATGTGTGTTTTTCAGTATGGACCAATATTTACAGTCTTTGCCATGGGAACTCGAATGACCTTTGTTACTGAAGAAGAGGGCATTGATGTATTTCTAAAATCCAAAGAAGTAAATTTTGAACTTGCGGTACAAAAACCCGTCTATCGTACAGGTAAAGAATATTTTCAGGTAGTTCATTTGAAATACAACATTGGAATCGAAGACTAGTTTTAGGTAACAGTTACATCCTTGCTCCTATATCAAGAATGATGAGGCCCCATTATTTTATTGTTTAGAGTAGGGATGGAAGGAGAAAAGAGTATATTATGAGTTTGGTCATTGAAAAACGAATTATTGGCAGCCTGACACAGTTAGATCTCAATTAGACATGTGAAAGAAGATGAGGTTACCTCACTGATGCTTTCTTTGGAAAATATTTGGAATCTGTATCCTGTTACAGCTCCCAAGATGTGGCTAACTGTTCTGCTACTGTGCATACAATGTTCTTCAGGCTGTAGCTCTTGGCTTGATCACATCTTGCTGCTCTGCTCCCTGAAAGTAGAATTCCACTGCTTAGGCCCTTTTCTAATGGCATTTCCTGACATATCCCATAGGGCTATGAAGGTAAGTGGTGCCCTTTCTCCAATTCTCTATGCTCAGGGACTGCTGGACTGTCCTGGCTAGCATGCTCCCAGGGTCTCTGCCTGCCTGTATTTCTTCCCAGGTCACACATGTGCATGCCGAGGCCATTTGCCCTCCCAGGAATGCAGGGCTGCTTCACTTTGCACCTGGCTCTTCTGTTTTCACGATGTCTGTGCTTGCTTCTACTGTCCATGGCTTCCCACTTGGCTTCATTCTGAGGTTCCCTTTTGTGTTTCCTCTCATGCTTTTTATTTTTTCCATTAAGACCAAAACGTTTGTTTTCAAAGCTCTCAGTGATCAATAGCGTGATTATTGTTTCTTCTTGCTGTCATGAAAATCACATGTGGGTTAAATGTTACGACTGTTTAGTACTCCTTGATATTGGACTATGGAATTTCAGATCAGATAATATGAATATTTTGAAACCTGTTGATCTGTAAAGTCACATATTGCTTCAGAAACATATACCAGCTTACCTGTCAGGTGTGTGGAAGTGATCAGGCTTTTACACCTGTCCCTCCTGGGGTCTTTCATGTTTAAATATATTTGTTTAACAGACAAAGTATGTTAATATTTACTTTTGAGCCAGCTCCCCGTTTTCTCTCATGTAATTTTACTGTCTCAGAATATAGGTTGACTCTTTACCTAGTTTTATTCGCAGGAGGTTATTTTATGTATTTAGTGAACTTTGGCTATATTCCCTACAGATCAAATAATAGTAGAAGTATATTGACTGCTTTAAGGAGTTGTTGCTTCTTTTAAAAACAGTTTTCTTGTTTATAGCATCGATTCCAAAGAATATCTTTTTAACGCTGCATGAAAAACTTTATATCCTGATGAAAGGGAAAATGGGGACTTTCAACCTATGTCAGTTCACCGGACAACTGACCGAAGAATTACATGAACAACTGGAGAACTTAGGCACTCAGGGGACAAGGGACCTGAACATCTTAGTAAGGTAAATAGACAACTTGATATTATTTCATCTTGCTCTTTTGGAACAAAAACTTTGAAGCCTGTGCATTGTACTAAAGAAATTATCTGGTAGATTAATGCAGCCTACCTAACTAGGCAATTAAGAGATTACGTTAATATTTTAAATTCCAATTAATGGGCAAGTTTCAGTTTAGCACTCCAATTTCATGGTGAGCAAATACGCTAACACATTTTAATACATGTACAGCAGTTTCTCCTTAGTTATTCCATACAGGTGTGTATGCTCTGTATGGATTTACCTCATACAGAGGTAATTGTCAGTTGTCATGCACCCATCAGAATTTCGGTAAAAAATTCAGTGCACTTTGTGATAACTGTAACAAGTGGACTTTGAGAGGACAAGGGAGAGGGCAGAGTCATCATGAAACAGAACATTTAATGTTTTGTTAGTGGTTTAGAAAGAGGGGGAAAAAGGAACAAAGAACCAAGCAGCCAGACTTTTGGCATGCCCCAAATCTGCAACAGAACAGCAAATTCTCAGCTGTCTTTGAACCTTTGGAGAATGTGAGTAAAAATGAAATTTCATGTCGCCAACCTAGGGCACGTTAACAATCACTGATATTCTTTTACTTGAGTATGCCACAGTAATCATTTTATTCACTTACTGTAAAACTTGATGACACATTATATTTCGATGTGGAATAGTTCACGTTTGTAGGACCCTGTAGACATTAGGAAGTTTGGTGACTGGTATTGCCCTTGATTCTTTGGTTATTTTTTGCTGCTATCTAAAGGCTTGTACTCTATCTTAGTTATTATTTGCTAAATAAATGCTTATTGAAGTTGCATTGAATCAGTTTATTTCTGTGCATCTCACATTTGTCACAATCTAAGAATGCTTGCTGAGAATGCTTGCTCAGTTACTCCTAAGTCACCTTGACAGCAGGCAAATACTAAAACCTGTTAAGGGTGACTCGCCCCCCCCAAAATATGTCATGTATTATTATTTCCTCCTTATATATAGCTACTAAATGCCCTCTTTTGTATCCTGGTTTTATATTCTTCTCGCCACTGGGTCTGACTTTTTATGTTTCTTTATTTATAGGCATCTCCTTTATCCAGTCAGTGTGAACGTGCTCTTTAAAAAAGGCTTGTTTCCCACAAACAAGAGGAAAATCACGGAGTTCTATCAGCATTTTCAAACTTACGACGAAGGTTTTGAGCACGGGTCCCAGATGCCAGAACATCTTCTCAGGTAGAAGCAGCCCTTTCCCGTAACGACTGCGTTAACCGGGCTCCTCACAGCAATTCCGTCTCCCATTTCTCTGCTCTGAGTAGATGGGACAGCAGGGAAGTGGGAAGGGAGCAGTTTCTTATGACAGGTTGGTTTTCGAAGGGGGGACAGGAGAGAGACGTGTGTTTCCTTCCCTTCTTTTTAATCTGGGGGAGCAAAAATGGGAGGGGTGGCAGGGCGAGAATGACTGGGAATATGAACATCAGGGTGAAATGAGGCCTTTGCTGGGAGGCCTCTTATCCCACTCACAGCGGATCGTCACAGTCACAGCTTCAGGTCGGACCCGTGCTAAATTGTCGGGTGTGGCGGGTCTCAGATCAGACACCGCGGCCACTCTGAGGCCAAAGTAGGTGCGGCCCAGTGCATGTCTCAGAGCCGGCTCGGGTGAATGTTTATTAAATGTCTCGAATGCAAAATTATGATTATTTTACTTCTTGGCAGTTTGTCTGCGATGGTTAATGGTCAGAAAAGATTAAAAGCGTTATAGCTGGTTCGCTTTACCTGGCCTAATCCAGCAGCGGGTCCCCGCGCTGGCTTTCCATCCTTATGTAAGCGACAACAGCCAGAGTAAAGTAGACCCAGCGGACCCTGGGCCCTGTTTTTTAGTTCAGTGCCAATCCTATAGGAATTCAAAAATTTATTTGTAAAAGACTCTAAAGTTTCCCCTCAGTTTTCCTTGTGGACTAATAAGCCTGAGGGTAGAACTCTAGTGAAATTCTAGCTGAAGAGGAAAAATTTGGAGAAATAGTTATAATTCCGTAGACATGCCCCATTTCATACTGTGACCTGTGACTCCTAAAGTGCTTTCAAGTTGATTGATACACATATTTTTTTCTCACCTAGAAACTGGTCAAAATCCAAAAGGTGGTTTCTAGCATTTTTTGAGAAAAACATTCCAGATATAAAAACATACAAATCTGAAAAAGAGAATTCCGTGGTAAGTATATCTTGTCTTTTTTTGCTAAAATACGTGAGTTGAAGACAATAATAAACTATGATTGTTAAATGTATGTTTTCGTTAAAGGTCGCGAGATTATTTAGATACCATTTTTGTGCCACACATTGGTGTTAGACATATTTACATGCGTTATTTTATTATTACATCCTGCAATAGTGAGCTAGGTATTAATTCTGTTCCACACAAGAAACACCTGAGGCTACAGACCACCAAAGAAAATAAAATTGCGAGGTTATTTATTCATGTATTAGACAGTTGGCTGTGTCAGCAGTGACAGGTGGGAGTTATGGCAAATTACGCAAGGTTAAAAAAGCTCTACAAAATGGACTTCATTCTTGATGCCTCTAGTTATTTCTCTTTTCAAATGCAAGGAGACAGTATGGTATAATTTTAAAAGCTGAGCACTAGGAGTCAGTGTCTTAAATGTCCTAGGTCTGTGGTTCTTCAAGTATGGTCCCCAGGCCCATGGTACCAGCATCACCTGGAAACCATGCAGGTAGAAACTCTGGGGCAGTGCCTAGCAGTGTGGTTTCGTAAGCCTTCCAGGCGGTTCCAGTGCTTGCTAATGATGGTTCTCATCCTGGCTGCTCATTAGAATCTGGGGGAGCTTTGAAAATGACCTGGTTCTGCAGACCCACCCTCAGACACTAGGATTCATTGAGAATGAATTGCCTAGGCCCAAATCTCATCCCCAACTGTATGACCTTTGGTTAACAAGTAATCTCTTTCCTTGGTTTGGTCACCTACCTCATAGAGTGGCAGGGATTAAATGAGTTAATGTTTGTAAAACATTTAGAACATGGTAAGGACTACCTGAAAGTTTATCATTGTTATCATTTTTAAGAAATGACTCCAGATCTTTTAGTATTTAAGATCATGTCAAGCCCAGCCAGCATGGCTCAGTGGTTGAGCATTGACCTATGAGCCAGGAGGTTATGGTTCAATTCGTGGTCAGGGCACATGCTGGGTTGCAGGCTCAATCCCCAGTAGGGGTGTGTGCAGGAGGCAGCCGATCAGTGGCTCTCTCATCACTGATGTTTCTCTCTCTCTCTTGCCCTCTCCCTTCCTCTCCCTGAAATCAATAAAAACATATTTAAAAAAATAAAAAAATAAAGATCACATCAGACGCTTTTGTTTGTTTCTAGTTAGTATAGCCAATGTTATCACAGGCAGCTCTAACACTGGAGAAGAGGAGAGCCTTAGGAAAAGGAGTGCTCGAATGTCTCCCTCCTGAATAGGGGGACTAGGAAGCTGTGCTGGAAGGCCCTTTATTAACAAACTGCATTTCAGCTAGTGATTCTATTTCAGAAACAGACCCAGACAAGCACACATTTTAGTTTGCATTATTTTTCAGGATTTAGGGTAAAACCACGTGTGTGTATAAAAGCTCCACTCGACAGGTCCTGAATCTATGGGTGTAGCATAAAGGGTGTCGAATGTCCCAGCTAAAACTCCTATTTTCTTACTCTGAAGAAATGAGACTCTTTTATTTTTATTTTTAAATTAAATATATTGGGGTGACATTGGTTAATAAGGTCATATTGGTTTCAAATGTACAGTTCTATGATTCATCATTTGTATATTGCATTGTGTTCCCGCTACCCAAAGTCAAATCTTTTTCCATCACCATATATTTGACCCCCTTTACCTTTTATTTTTAAATCCTTACCTGAGGATTTTTATTGATATTAGAAAGAGAGGAAGGGAGGGAGGAAGGGAGGGAGAAAGGAAGAGAGAGAGAGAGAGAGAGAGAGAGAGAAACATCGATTGACTGTGTCCTGTACACACCCCAACCAGGGATCAAACCCACAACCTAGGTATGTGCCCTGACCGGGAATCGAACCCACAACCTTTTGGTGTACAGGACGATGCTCCAACCAACTGAGCCACACTGGCTAGGGGCCCTTTACCCTTTACTACCCCCACCCCCTTTCTCTCTGTGAGGTTTTCTTTCCCCATCACCATTTATCTCTCTCATACCCTCCTGTACCTCCCTCCACCCCTGAAATGAGGCTTTTTAAATCATAGCCACTGTAGCTCCCTATTTGAATCAAGGCAGACTTTGAACTTTGCTCACATTCTTCCTGTGTTTAGGACATTCATGAGCACGTTAACTTCATTTTTGTATGTATTGCTTCTGCTTCCCTCTGGAAGGCTTCTGTTTTGATACCCACATTTTTTTGAAAAGTGGGCTGAGAAGAAAAGATTATATTGTGTTCTGCATAAGTAGATTTCAATGGCCTACTTAAGCAGAAGACTGAAAGAAGTTTTTTTCGTTGTTTTTTTAAATATTATACACATATTTGTCACATCATAAATTTCAAATATGGTAATTTCTTCCATGTGAGTCTAGATGTATATTAAACTAGTATTTCCATTTACAGAGTAGCATATCAAAAGAATGAAATACATCTATAGGGCTTTTAATGAGATACAAACTTGGTGTTGTAACAGCTTCCATCGTAAGTATGGTGGAAACCAGCTTTAAATGAAATTTATCCTTAAACTATTTTCAGTTCTGCTAATTCATTGTCACAAAAACCAATAACAGTGAGACACCGCCGACGTTTACGGGTGCTTACTCCATGCCAGGCACGGTGTTCCACATGTCACAAATTCATTTCTCGTTCATTTTTCACAACAGCTTTCATGCCCAGAAAACCGGGGATTATTAAAACCAGAAAGCCTGGGATTAGAGTGGTTAATCACTTTTGGAGCTTTACGTGCCTTGGTAACAGCAACAGTCTCTCATCATATATTTTCTTTGATAGTGATTTAAAAGTTATTCTCTGTGTTGTAGGATCTGAAGCAAAACCACTACATTGTGGGACAAGGCAATTCTCTTAGTCCCTGCTCCACGAGGGTGATGGATTGTGTCTAACGGGGCAACGGAGTACAGTGGCTGAGTGTGGGCCCTGGAGCCAGCATCAGCCTCACAGGGCCTGCATCCCGGCCCAACCACCAATGAGATATATGTCCCTGCAAAGTCCCCTAACTTCACTGTACTTCAGTTTCCTCAAATGTAAAATGATGAGGATAATAGTATTTACCTCTTGGAGTCGGGTGAGGGTTGAGTGGATTAAATGCCTGTAAAGCACCGAAGACAGCACTTGCCTTAGCAAGCAGCGACTAGACGTTAGCTACCGTTATTTCCATCATCTGAACCTGAGTTGCTTAAGATTCAAAGTGCACAAGTAACTTAATGAGATTGCTGTGGTGTCTGAATTTCCTCCTCATCCTGGGGACTAGGCACAGGCAAATCTGAGGAAACCTTTCTATGAACAAAATACCTTCATGGTATTTGTGTGATGACCTGAGAGCAACCATAGTAGGTAACCTTGCATGGGGCCATATTTCACCCGGCACCATTCAAGGCAAATGTCAGTTTTCCAAGTGGTTTTACAGAATTACAGGATTTATAATCCGCTGCCTCGGCAGTTTTCTCTCCCATGGTGTGTAGCCTGAGGATCTGCATGTCCGATTGGAGTAGGGTTTTCTTCTGAATACTTCAGAGAGCTGTGTTTCTTTTCCTAAGAGCAGAGGTTTTTTTTGTTTTTTACTAAAGTAACATTTGTCAAAAATGGTAACTNGTTTTTTTTTAAAGTAACATTTGTCAAAAATGGTAACTCATTTAATTCTCACAACAATCCTATNTGTTTTTTACTAAAGTAACATTTGTCAAAAATGGTAACTCATTTAATTCTCACAACAATCCTATGAACATTTTATAGATGAAAGTGAGACATTCAGGGCTTAAAGTAACTCGTCCAAGGTTACCCAGTTCTTAAATAACTTAAGTTTCAGTTCCACATGGAAGAATCTTGGAAGTTGTCCTTTCATCCTAACAAGTAAGAACCTGAACAGACTAAAAATCAACAACTCTTCTTGGATCCATCAGAGAGGGAGGGCACAGGGCAAACCACGGCTCCCAAGATTTGAGGGACCAACAGGCAAATGCCCGGTATTTTGCTGAGGATTTTTGCTTTTTTTTAAAAATTGATTTGAGAGAGAGAGAAACATCAATTTGTTGTTCCACTTATTTATGCATTCGTTAATTGTTTCTTGTATGTGTCCGGACCGAGGACTGAACCTGCAACCTTGGCATTTGGGGTGACGCTCTAACCAACTGAGCTACCCAGCCAAGGCTGCATCTATATCGATGAGAGATATTGGTCTGAAGTTTTCTTTCCTTATAATGTCTTTGTCTGGCTTTGGTAATTAGTATAATGCCAGCCTCATAGACTGAGTTAGGAAGTACTCTCTCTATTCCTATCCTCTGAAAGAGATTATGGACAACAGGTATAATTTCATTTTTAAATGTTTGGTAGATTTTACCAATGAACCCATCTCAACCTGGTGCTTTCTGTTTTGGAAAGTTAATTAATTATGGATTCAGTTTCTTTCCTAGATATGGGCCTATTTAGGTCATCTGTTTCTTTCTGTGAGAGCTTCTTTCAAGGAAGTGGTCCATTTCAACTAGGTTATCAAATTTGTAGGAAAAGAGTTGTTAAAAGCATTCCTTTATTATCTTTTTAATTTTCATGGGCTCTATAATGATGTCCTCTCATTTCTGATATTAGTAATTTGTGTTGTTTCTCTTTTTCCCCCCTCTCTTAACCTGTATAGAGGCTTATTGATTTTATTGATCTTTTTAAAGAACCAGCTTTTGATTTCATTGATATTTTTCTTTCGATTTTCTGTTCTTAGTTTCATTGATTTCTGCTTGAATTTTTCTTTCTTCTGCCTACTTTGGGTTTAACTTGCTTCTCTTTCAACTTCCTAGGGTGGAAACTCAGATTATTGACTTGAGAATTTTCTTGTTTTCTAATATACCCATCAGTACTATCAATTTCCTTCTAAGCAATCCATATAGAATATTTTCACTGTTCTAAAAATCCTCTCTGCTTTGCTTGTCCATTCTTGGCTCTAAAACACAGCATAACAAATTTGAAAGAATAGAAATCATATAATATCTACTTTCAGAACACAGGGTAACTAAACTAGAAATCAGTAGCAGAAAGGAAAAATCCCAAAACATGTGGAGATTAAACAATGCACTTCTAAATAACTCATGGGTCAAAGAAGAGCTCTTAGGAGAAATTAAAATATTTTGAAACACATGAAAATGAAAACACAACCTACCAAATTTTGAGATGAAGCAAAAGCAGTGCTTATAGCATAATTGTCAAAACTTGGAAGTTTTGCCCTTCAATATGTAAATAGGTTATAATGATAGATATATGTCATTATAGATTTGTCCAAACCCATAGAGTGTACAACACCAAGAGTGAACCCTAAGATAAACTATGGACTTTAGGTAATTGTGATGTGTAGGTTCATCCGTGGTGAGAAATGTAATTTACTGCTAAGTGATGTTGATAATGGGGAAGATTATGCATGTGTGGGGTAAGGGTTATAAGGAAATCTCTGTACCTTCCTTTCAATTTTACTGTAAACCTAAAAAAATAAAGTCTTAAAAAAAATTGAAGGCAGATTTTGAAGCAATATGGTAAGGGAGCTGAGCTCTGGAGTCCCTACTCCTAATTACTGCACAGGGAGTAAGTGTGCAAATCCCTTGGCAGGCCTCAAACAGCAGACCTGAGAGTGGCAGAACTAATACCTTTTGGATAAAAGAAAAATGCGTGGTCTTCTGTTTATTAACGTCAGTCTTCGTCACATGGCTGTGGTTTGACAATACTTTTTTCTTTTAAACAGACACTAATGCAGGCTTTGCTGGATATCATAGAGATGGAAACAAATGAACAAAGTCCCAATTACGGGCTTCTGCTACTTTGGGCTTCTTTGTCCAACGCTGTCCCTGTAAGTATGTTAGCGAAGTAGGGGGTACATTCCTGTCTACTCACTTTCAATGTTCTCCTCTCTTTCCTTTCTTTTTTTTACTTCTTATGGGGAAGAAAAAGACTGCAGTGGAGTTGTTTGTAAGATAGAAAAATAAAACTGAATATCTAGTGAAATCTGATAAGAGCACAGAGGGGCCGAAGCGGAGACCTGGGCGAATTCTGCGTCTGAAGGGCAGCGTGTCCCAGGCTGAGGGAGAAGCTTGCCCCCGGGGGTCCGCTGTGACGACACCTTCCTCTGCCCTGCAGTGTGCCCAGCATGGGGGCTGCAGAGATGAGCAAGGCTTGGCCCCTCCCGTTTACTGGGGAGAGGGTAGGTCAACGGGGAGTTCCAGGTAGAACTGGCTTTGAATCCNGCTTACGGAGCCCGTCCTCTGCCCTGCAGTGTGCCCAGCATGGGGGCTGCAGAGATGAGCAAGGCTTGGCCCCTCCCGTTTACTGGGGAGAGGGTAGGTCAACGGGGAGTTCCAGGTAGAACTGGCTTTGAATCCAGGTAACCCCAGTTACAGCTCTAGAGTCTCATGGAGGGAATCTCAGCTCTGAGTGTCCATTTACTTATGGGTAAAAAGGAGATAAGGAAACTCCTAGTCATGTCCTAGGACTTGGGTACTTATTAATAGTAACTCTCATTTCTCTGCAAGGCCGTTGTGAGGATTTGAGGTAAGGCCGCCTGGTCCCTGGGGAATAGGGTTCTCTGCCCTCCCCGGGCCCCTTCTGCTCTGCGCCGCCCTGTTTGCATTACCTGCCGTCTTGGTCCTGTAGGCCTTCTGGTGAATGGACCTGGCGGCGTTGGAGCTCACAGTACTTCTAAAGAGAGTGGACACTTTGTAAATAGTTTTTTTAAAGCTGTTATGAACTAGATTAAAGCCATGAGACTTGTCTGCCTCTTCATGTCCGATGCACACCGGTTCCCTGTGTCAGGAGATTTCACATTAGCCTAAGCTGCACTTATATTATCTGAGAAATTAAAGGGTGACCTTCTTTATACATTTGTTTTCTACTTAACAGGAACGCTCAGATCATCACTAATGAGAAATGTGGTCATTTTTTCTTCTAACAGAGGGAAATATGATGTGTTCAGTATTATTTATATCTTCTTCATCTTCTGAAGGCCAGGGTGGTTAAAGGCTTTCTAAATACTGACATTCTAGTTTCCTTTACCCTGTTTCAAAACTTACCGGGTAAAGAGCAGAAATAGAAATTCCCACCGCTCTGCCCAAATGTGTGGCAACCACTAGAAATATAACACAGTCTAATTAATCCTTTCCTTTCCTTCACAGACCATGAATATTAATCTTTGATTTTTCCTGACTCAGTTTTCTTGGACACTGATTAAGTGGTAGCAAAATTAAAAAGGAAACATCAAAACAGCTCCCAAAGCAGCAGCAAAACAGCCCCGCCTGCCCCAGGATTGACTTTCCAGATCCCATTAGAAAGGTCCCCCGGAAGAAGGGGACACAAAGCCCCATTGATCTGACTCAGGGGAAGTCAGTTCTTTGGAATTTGTTCCTGGCACTAGTCTCAAAGGATTCAAATCATTAATTTCAGAAAGGAAGTGTCCGATGATTAGTGAAAGTTCCATCTCACTGGCTTCTGTCGGCACTTCCAGGAGGCAGCTGGTCTGCGGGCAGAGACCCCAGAAGGCTTTAGGTCATGTCCAAAGCCAAATCCCAGTGCTGGGTGACAGCGGGCCAGTTGTTTAACCTCTCTCAGCCCCAGTGTCCTCATCTGTAATGTAGGTTTAATGATACCCACTTCATAGGATAGTTGTGAGGGTTATATTGGTAATAAATGGAAAGTGACTAACAGTCCATGGCACAAGTTAGGTGCCCAATAAATGTTAGTTTTGTTCTCTTATGAAAAGTAAAGCCATGGTTTCAATCAGTCATTATTTTCCATTAGTAATCAACTGTCCTGGCTTCCAAAATGTGACCACTCAAATGCCCCAGGGCAAGAGCAGCCGCTGCTGTCCTGGTTCCTGTGGTCTCCCATCACTGCCTAGAGAACTGCTGAACATCCTGCCAGAGGTGTAGGTGGCGAGCGTGACATTTCTTGGTACCTAGATAATATTTTTAGCTTTTGTCCTACTCTTACTCTGCCTGATGGGCTTGGCACAGGGCACTGGGAGGTTCCTTTATCACCCAGGTAAACTTTGGTGGGTCGGCCCAAGATATTAACCATGATTTATGAAATTGTTTGTATGCTAAAACCATTTCCAAGTTCCAAGAGATTTCTGACTGCCAAGTGAACTTTTAAAGAATAGTTTTGCAAGTCTAATCTCAAAACTGACATTTTGCGTTTTTAAATCTGCTTCCTTGAAGCTCTTTCTAAACACTTTTAGCAGTGGCCCTCAGCCCCCACCCTACACCCTCCCACCCTCAACTCCCACAGCATTTATTATCTGTGCCATTCATTCCCTCTATATTTACTGTTTTTTTCATCTCATATCCCCGACTAGATGTGAAAGTTCTTTGGGCAAGAATTACGTCTTTTTTTAAAGCTTTTGTTTTTTAATTGATTTTTTTAGAGAAAGGGAGGGAGAAAGAGAGACAGACACACACACACATCAATGTGAGAAAAAAACATTGGTCAGTTGCCTCCCGAATTCACCAGGACCTGGAATTAAACCCGAAACCTAGGTATGTGCCCCGACTGGGAATGGAACCTGTCGCCCTTTGGTGCACAGGAGGATGCTCCAACCAACTGAGCCACACCAGCCAGGGCACGGAATTACAGCTCATACAAATTTGTGTTTACCATGATTGGTCGAGACTCTCTAACATGTTACGGAGACTCCATCAATATTTGTTAAATCTTTTTTTTTTAATGAAGGAATAAATGATGCTGAAGAGCATACTCGACTCATCTGACACAGCAAGGCAGAGCTTTTCTCTGTTCCTATCACCTTTGTTCTTGCCTCTGCAAAACAGTGGAAAGGCAAGGCAGCGACTGCTTCTGCAGGTCCCTAAGCCAGGTGGCCCTTCTTCTTCTGCCCAGCCCTCACCATGGACTTGACCCCTTTGGCAAGATATTAATTGGTACTTTTGGGAGCACTTTTCAACTCCCTTCCCACATGTGGGTGAACAAAGGCCTTTTATTTTTAAATAAGTAATTTGGGTTTCTAAAGTATAAAGGATTTTTAGAAGCAAAATCTGTTAAGAAAAACATTAAAAATGATATCTATTTTATAGCTCGCTATAGTTATACCATTGTATAGCTATCTATAGTTTAGCTGAATTCCTTTTGTTTCTTATAAAAATAAGTATTACCCAATTTTAGTGAATCTCTATAACTCTAAGCACCNCATTAAAAATGATATCTATTTTATAGCTCGCTATAGTTATACCATTGGATAGCTATCTATAGTTTAGCTGAATTCCTTTTGTTTCTTATAAAAATAAGTATTACCCAATTTTAGTGAATCTCTATAACTCTAAGCACCTAAAACCTTAGAACTCTCTTTTTTGTAACTGAAAATCTATGTACGACCCTAATATTTTTCCCCCCAACATGATCTCTGTCTCTTTAAATAAGATGAACTGAGTATGGAGTCATTATTAATTAAATAACGGTAATTCAGCACTTCCATCTATATAATAGTAGAAAGAGCCTGGAGAAGAGAACTCTCTGAGCATCTGACTTCTACTGTAAAAACACACTAGATGATCTCTAGGGTAATTCTTTCGTAACCTGGAAAATGCCACAGAAAGTGGGCCTCCGCTCGTAGTGGCCTGGCTTTACCACAGTGACCCCTCCCCTGCAGTGTAATGTCACCGAGGGGAAAGCAGTAGGCAAACTGAACTAGGCTCCAGCAGAGCACCTCCTTCCACTCAATTGCTCTTCCTCTTCTGACCACAGAGGGGAGTATTGGAATTATTTTAAGGTACCTAAAGTTTCTTCACAAAAAGGGCAAAAAGACTTAAGTTACACAAAGTGTTGTCTAAGTCATATTTCAGGACTGGTTTTCCTAGACAAGATTTCTTTTACAGTACATGTTTACTGAGAAATAAAAAACACAAAATTCAAGCTTCTTTTAATGATTTTGTACTGGTTTCCTTTATTGTGTAACCTAGGAATGGAAGCAAAAACATTTCCTTGAGTTAAGAGAAAGCTAATTTTTGAGACGTATAGCAGTATAACTTTATTTTATAGTACTGCAATGAGGAAAGGTCTGAAATACTTTTGTTTGGTCGAGCGACTTATTAAAATGTTCAATAGGGTGCAAAAGGACCTGTTTTTTATATTGAGTACTCTCATAATTCAGTTTATGAGATTTTATGTATAGTTTCTGGGGCTTATTTAAAATTGCCATGTTTCATTTGCAGAATATATGATTTGGCTGTATTTCAAGGAAATTAAATCTTGAAAAATGTTTTTGTTTTGGATTTGGATTAACATTCTTAAGTGGTATAATTTGTTGTTTCTAAATACTGCATGCCTATGTAATATTTTATATATTGTGTATTAGTGAAAAAAAAATCCCACTTTTTGCATTTTTCAGTGAAGATAGATTAATGGGTGAAACTATAGGGAGAGAATAAAATTATAAATTGAGATTAACATCTCTTTTTAGAGATTAACATCTCTTTGTTCATAAAACCTAGTTGTTTTCAAAGATGCTCTTTATTAACATGCTTTTAAGTTTAATTTAAACATTCTCTGTGTTTCTTTCAAACGTTTCAGCCTAATATTAAGTATGCCTTTGTTTACTTCCAAAGAAGGTTGCACTTTTTGATACATGCCTTTCTCTTTAAGATTGCATTCTGGACCCTTGGATTTGTCCTCTCTCAGCCCAGTATCCACACGGCCGTTACGGAAGGCATAGCATCCGTGTTTGGCCCAGCAGGTACTAAAGATGCATTAAATTACACAATCGAAGAGACATCTAATAACGTGTGCTTGTTACACATCGCTGGCGAAGTCAAATGCCTGTAATTTCATAGAAATTCAATACAGTATAGTCCAAAATTGAACATAACTGATGTGTTTTAAGATATGCATGGATCAGGTAAAATCCTAGAATTTAATTACAGTCAAGGGTTTTAGAGGTCACCTTGCCTAAGTCCCTTATTTTCCAAATGATGACATAACTGCGAGGGAGGTGGTGACTTGCCCAACTTCCCTACCTAGATGTATAAATGTGTAATGTGCAGGGCTTTTTCTTCTGATCTCTTGACCCCTTATCCCAACTAAGCTATAAGTCCATAGTTTTGGAATTCAGGATTTCCCACATTTTATAAAAGTGATACGGTGCATAGCGCATATATTACATAAGAGTACTAATGGGGTAGAGGGATCAGGTAACATTTTACCACCAAAAGAATTATTTTAAAAGTTACAGTTGTTAGAGATTTCGGGGGGTTAAAACCATGGATAGGGATTGCTGCCCTTCTTTCTTTGGCTCAGATTCCAGCTCTTTTCTTGTCATTTGTTTTAAAAAGCAGAAATAATCTTGAATGGAGAGGGCTAGACTGCTTGTTTATTCAACATAATTTGACCTGTTTTGGAATAGATTTTTTTAAAAACCTTAATTAACGTCAAATTATGCATTCTAATGTGAAAAGAGTAACACATGACTTAGTTTTTTTGGGGAAGAAAACAATACAATAGTAGGACAAAAAAGAAGATGACATTTAACATGTATCTTCCCCCCTTCATTATTGCTGAAAATATTTTATTTGGGATCTTCATTTTCCACTACTTCTTACTGAGTTAAACCAAAAGCGAATTGGCTTGACCAGCGTGACTGTCTGAGCCCTACTGTTCTGAGCCTTGCATGTGAGTCAGCAGGTGCTGGACCTCATCTCACAGAAGGGGTGAGCGTCAGACTCACTGAGGACCAGCAGTGCTCACAAGGCAGATTGGGAGAGACCGTGGTGAACCTAAGACCTAAGAGAAGGCTGCCTCTATGGAGCTTCCATCTGCAAAGCTAACGGAGACGTGCATGCTGCGTACCCACAAATGGGAGGGAATGCGTCCTTGATGGCCACAAATTCTCCCCTACATTTCCTTACGAGGGTCTTCACCTGACTCAGGGCTCTCCAGTGGTCTATAGGAAACAAAAAGGTACAGATGGGAATGGTGGGAATAAAGTGGGAAACCTATCTGACGCCAAGGCCACAACACAAGTATTGCATTATCTAATTTCTACTGTGCTTGAGTCTTGAACACAGTTCTTATGGAGAAAGAGAAAACCTTTGTTCTTTCTTCACGTTCTGGTTTTGTTTTTATTTTATCATCTTTATTGTTGAAAGCATTACAGATGCCCCCCTTTTCTCCCCTTGACCCCCTCCTTCCCACTCCTCCCGGCCCCAGGCCTTCACCACACTGTGGTCTGTGTCCATGGGTTCTGCGCAGATGCACGGAAGGCCTTTGGTTGATCTCTTCCTGCCCCTCACCCCCCTTCCCGCTGAGAATCCTTAGTCTGTTGCATGCTCCCATGCCTCTGGATCTGTTTTGCTTGTCAGTTTATTTTGCTCATTAGATTCCACATATAAGTGAGACCATGTGATATTTGTCTTTCTCTGACTGGTTTATTTCGAATAATACTCTCCAGGTTATTTTTAGAACCTATTATTTTCCTTTGGCAGAAATTTGCTCCTTCTAATAGTGGTACCAGGGTAATAGCTATACTTATATCAGTGCTTTCAGTTTGTAAGACTCTTGTAGAATTGAAAACAACTTATAAAAAAAAAAATCAAACATGTATTGCCATGCTTCTTTGGTAGCAGTTCAGATCAATGCATGCATAACCAATAGTAGTACCTTCAGGATTTTAGATGCTGTGAGAGGAGACCACAGACCTTTGATGGCTGATAGAAAGGAAGATATCCATGTACCTGTACAAAGGATCTTGTCAAAGAAAGAACGTTAGAGTGCATGGACCAAGGATCTGACTCAGTATGGCAGTTTTCCCACTTTTATGCTCTTTTCTATCACAAGGCCACTATTTCCGTCTTGGACATATCCTCCCTGAATTTCCAATCCTGCATCTTTCTGGCCTCAAAACTCACCCCTAGAGCCCATCACAGGCACTTTGCCCAACTTTCTTATAAAACAAGTTTAAGGGTTAAGACTACTATTGAATAATTGGTCTTTTGTGTCTGGCTTCTTTTACCTAACATAACGTTTTATGTTGTGATGTTTTACTTGATTTTCAGATGTGATCCACCCTTGTATTCCCGGGGTAAATTCTACTTAGCCATGGTGTATCATCCATATGACATAATTTTTATTATATTGCTGGATTCAGTTTGCTAGTATTTTGTTGAGGAATTTTTACATTGACATTAATATGGAATATTAGTCTAGTTTTCTTGCGATGTCTTAGTCTGGTTTTGGTATTAGGATAATTCTGTCGTTATAGAATGACTTCAGAAACGTTCCCTACTCTTTTTTTTTTTTTTGTAGAGTTGTTAAAGGATTGATGTTAATTCTTCATTAACCATATGGTAGAATTCACCAGTGAAGTAACCTGGTCCAGAGATTTTTTTTTTTTTTTGTGAGAGGGTTTTTCTGCTTTTAAAAAAAAATTCATTCTCTCCATTTATTGCAAGCCTATTCAGATTATCTATTTCATCTGGAGTCAGTTTTGTAACTTCTTAGGAATTTGCCCATTTTATCGAAGTTATTTAACTTGTTGTCATACAGTTATTCATAGTATTCCCCATAACCCTTTTTATTTCTGTTAGTCACAAGGAAAACACCTCCCATCTTATCTGGGTAATGTGTTCTCTTTCTCCCCCCCTACCTTGGTCAGTGTAGCTAAGGAGTTGCCAGGATTGTTCGCAAAGAACTAACTTTTGGGTTTGTTTATTTATTTTTATTTTTTCTATTGATATTGTACTTTTTCATTTACTTCTGTTCCAATCTTTATTATTTATAATTTCTATCTCTTTATTGATATTTTCTACTTAGTTCTTTGCCTTGATTTCTTGATTTCTTTGAATAGATTTAAAATATCTGAAATCTTTTTTTAGTAACACCAACATCTGGGTTTCTTCAGGGATAGTTCTATTGATTGCTTTTTTTCTCTGTGTATGATGAGTATTTTCTTGTTTCATGTCTTATTTCATATTTCTTTTTGCATGTCTTGTAATTTTTTGCGAAAACTGGATATTTCTCATATAATGTGGCAACTCTGGAAATCAGATTCTCCTCTCTTCTCAGGGTTTATTGTTATTGTTGCTCATTGTTGTTGTTTGTTTAGTGACTTAGTTTGTATTCTTTATCATATGTGACCACTTATGTCTCTGCTTTGTTAGTTTAGTGTTCAGCCAATACAGAGATTAGACAGAGATTGCTTTTCACTAGGAACCAGCCTGCCTCCCATTCTTTTTTTTTTTTTTACTTTATTTTTTTCTATTTAAAAAAAATTTTTTTTTTTAAATTTTATTTTTGTTTGTGCCTCCCATTCTTTATCAAAGGACTGTGTGCATGTTGAGGCCTGCCTGCAACACTAGGCCAGGCAGCTGACGACCCTGCCTTAGCTTTCACCTCCTGCTTGCACAGAACCTCAAAGTCAGCCATTGGTGAGACGTCGGGGCCCTCTCAGGTCTTTTCTGAGCATGAGTAAAGCCCCGGGCACTTGTTCAGTTGTACACAAGTGCATGGCCTTCAATATTTCCAGGAATGCACTGGATCTCTTCAAAGCCCTTAGGACATCTCATTTCCTAGCTTTTTATTTTAATATTTTTGGTTTACTTGTTGTTTGTCCCAACTGTTATCTATTGCCTCAGGTAGCTGCCAAGTTAAACAACTATCTTTAAAAGTTTTCAGCCAACATCCCTGAGGAAAAGACTTTTTCCACTGGGGAGCTCCAAGTCAGGTCAGATCAAGACAGTCTTGCAAGTGGGATTTTTCCAGGGAACTGCCAGACTGGTCAAATAATGAGAATTTTCTAGGAATGAGGTTTCTGAGTAGTTCCAACCCTGTTCTACCCTCTCTGGTGGCTGCTGGGCTACTGATTGCAGTATGTCTGCAGGCTATTGGCGTTCAAGGTTACCGTGGAGCTGTAGAGAGGGGGATGGCAATAGGGCAAGTTAAAATGTCATTAAGGTTGCTGTTTTTACCAACATTGAACCATTTTTCTTGGAGATGCACTCCTTGAATTGCTGCAAGCCTTTGGTTAATTTCTAGAGTTCTGAAAAAGTTGATCCTCACCATTTTTACCAGATTTCTCATTGGTTTTAAAGAGGGAGCCTTTGAAGTCCTTTTATACAGACACCACCCTGAACCATAGATTTTTGTTGTTGTTGTTTGTTTTTAAAATATGCTTTTATAGATTTCAGAGACAGGAAGGGAGAGGGAGAGAGAGAAAATCAATGAGAGAGAAACATCAACAGGATGCCTCCTGCATGCCCCCTACTTGGTGAACCCAATGTTTTGTTTTATTTTTATTTTAGTTAATTTTTTTAATATGTATTGATTTCAGAGAGAGGAAAGGAGAGTGAAAGTCAAAACATCAATGATGAGAGAGTCATTGATCGGCCGCCTCCTGCACACCCCCGACTGGGGATCGAGCCCGCAACCCGGGCATGTGCCCTGACCGGGAATCGAACAGAGATCTCCTGGGTCCTAGGTCGATGCTCAACCGTTGAGCCACTCCTGCTGGTTGAACCCTATGTTTTAAAATTTCATTTAGGAAACCCTCGAGATGCATGTGGATTAACCCTTCCCTGATCTGTTCGTTGACTTGGCGCTGTGAAAGGCAGGGCTGTGAAGACGAGCACGGTGCGGGGTGCGGGGTGCAGTGCTCTCAAGGAAGCTCCGAAATGCTTTCCTGTAACAGCGCAGGCAGGTTGGGGAGAGTCCGGGAGGCGCCAGGAGAGAAAAAGGGGTGTTTAC